CTGCTTGTGTAATGAATAACACGTGACCTGCACTTCTATAGAGAATGAAACAAGGTCTACACAATATGATGAGTAAGACAGTCTATACTCCATTAAAGAGAATGACACCTGATCTATGCATTTGTTGTGAGTGGCACCTAATCTACACATTTACAGTGAATGACACGTGATTTGTGCATTTACATTGAGTGATATCTGATCTACACATTAGCAGTGAAAGATGTTTAATGTATGTATTTTCTGTGTCTGGCTCATAGTCTGAGTTTACACTTACACACATACACAGCGATCCAAACATACACATACCTTCGCTTACCTCTGCAACGATCTATTCATACGAACACACTCCACCTCAGATACTCATACTAACACATCCTCTCACACAACTATACACAGCCATACACCATACCTCACACAACCACATATCCTCACACACAATCACATATAAACATCCTCTCACACAGCCACTTGCAACATCCTTTCACACCACACACAACCACACATCCTCACATAAACACACACAAGCATCCTCTCACACAACACACATCCTCACACAAAACCTCACACAATTACACCAAACACCAAACACCTCACACCACACACAACCTCACACAATCCCACACAACAGCCTCACACACAACCCTCCCATCTTTTCTCCCCAGGTATCAAGCCAGCTGGAATGTGCCGCCCTGTGCCTAACCGTGCTGTGTGCTTGTTACAACCTGGAAGTGCGGAACAGTACGCTAACCTGCACAACACTGTCAACCATTAGGGAATTCACAGAACAACCCTTCACCCGTAGTTTCTTCAGCAGGAAAGGTGGGGACGAGATAACTGCTTCTGTTAGGTTGTTCCATCGTTGTGGTTGTTATGATTGTTGGTTGTATTTTGCGATGATTGGTATATTTTGATTGGGATTTTTGTTATTTTGTTTTTTATTATTAATTTCGTTCTTTAATATTCGTGTTATTCTGTCCCTTCTTGTCATTCTTGTTCTCTTCTTTTTCATTGTTTTTCATCTTGCTCCTTCTCCTCCACCTCTTTCTTTTTCTTCTTCGTCTTCTCATTTTGCTTTTCCTTTTCCCTCCTTCTTCCCCTTCACTTCTTCTTTATCGTCTATTTCTCTCTCTTCTTCTCCTTCTCCATTCTTTCTCCCTCTTCCCCTTCCCTTCTTTATCTTCTGTTTCCCTTTCTACTCCATTTCCTTTCTCTTTCTCAACCTCCTCCATTTACTTTCTCCATTTTCTTTCTCTTCCTCCACCTCCTACATTTCTTTCTCTTCCTCCACCTCTCCCCCCCCCCCCCGTTCCCTACCCCAGGCCTGTACCAGCAGCTGGGCTTCATCCGCTACAAGGAGCAGTGGGTGATGGCCCGTGACCCGACCCTCCCGCGCCTGACCTGGGACGACAGCGTGGCCTGGTGTCGCTCGCTCCCGGGGTCAGTGTTCCTGCCGCAGACCCTGGAGGATTTTGACTGGATGGTGGAGATCTTCAGGACCAAGTACGAGGACGGGTACATGTTCTTCCCTCTCAATGACAAGGAGAAAGAGGGGGACTTCGTGTGGGTCAATGGATCGTGTGAGTTTCTTTGGGGGGTGTCTGGTTTCACGTTTTCTATGATTGGTGGTTGTGTGTTTTTGTCGCGTTTTCTTTTTTGGTGTTCCGTTTTCTGTGTTTGTTCCTCGTTTTCTCTGTGCCACGTTTTCTGTTTGTTTCTGGTTTTCTTTGTTTCTCGGTTTCTTTGTTGTTTTTTCGTGGTTGGTTTCGTTACTAACCGCTTCATTGGATTTGTTTGTCTGTGATCCTACTCATATTTCCTTTTTTATTTACCTTCTTTTCGTTTTATTCCGTCTCACTCACTATTCCCTGACTCCGTTCATTCTCATATAAAAATGAACATCTTTCTCACACTGAAAATCAATCTTTTTTTCTAAGAAATCTGTTCCTCCACGCACCCGTTCACAGACTTAAACCAGGCCTGTAACATCTCAACCATTAATCCTAGCCTATTTTAACTCCAGATTCGCGATTTCCCAAGAGATTATCATCCCAGTAGTCATATATCTATGCCCAAGGGTTTTAGATCTGGATTGTGCCATCACATGTCGTGGCGTTCATTTTAACTTCTGCTGTAGAATAGATATTAAGAAGTGAGACGAAAGGAGCATTGGAATTTAGTTCCCTAATTCCCAAGTCCAGTATTTGGAACTTTCGCGCCAGTCCCTTTCTGCAACTCCACTTCAAAACAAAACAAAATTAAAAACGCTCCTTAAAAACGGCTAAAGTTATGGCCCATCTCTCAGGCGTCTGCGTCTCTCCCGCAGCCGCCAAGAACGCGACCCAGATCCGCTGGCACGACGGCCAAGAGGGCGCCGGCAACACCATAGAGGACGACTGCGTGGCCATCGAGTCCTACCACGACTACACCCTGCGCGTCCATGCCTGCGACCACACTCACTACGCCATGATCTGCGCGGGAGATGGATAGGGAAAGGGACACC